AGACATAAAATTTTTTCTTGAACAGTTAACAACAACAAAATACACTTATATTTTTGTAGAGTTAAACAAGTATCTTGAGTATAGTTTAAGGCTTAAAGGCTTAAAGATATATAAAAACGCAAAAATTAAATTTTGAGTTGTGTCATTTTTGTGCGATATGGGCAATTCCATGAAAAGGTAAACCACGACTGAAAAAATAAAACCCTTATAACTTCTACAATTTTGAAGATAATTCAACAAAATTTGGTATATGATCTTTTGTAGCGCCAAAGACGAAGACTGTTGCAAATTTTTCTGTTAATTATAATACTATCCCTTCAAAAATCGGCAGATCTAAAATGTTTATAAGCCTAAACCTTTATGCCGATTTTCATAACGATTGGACCTCATTTGACCCTAGTTCCATTCAAAGTTTAATTTCAAAAAACACTTAAACGTCCGTAACTCACCTCTAATCACTAGTATTATGATAAAATTTGGCATAAATAAGTTTTATATGAATTATAATCACACCCTAGAATTTTATGAGGATCGGTTCATATTTGACCCTAGTCGCCATATAACTCCAGTTTTGTATTTTTATCTATAAATTGCTTAAACATGTATATAGGTCGGCCATGTCCGACTGCACTTCCTACTCCTTTTGATTTGTTGAAGTGTGTGTATACATATATTTCCAAAATATATATTTTATAACCTAAAAAAAAATCAGGAGAAAAATCGCTCACATACGATGTGTCACGTACGATATTTAAATATGTTCATTATAAAATTATATTAATTTCTTTTTTTATTTAAAAATTATGGATTACTAATGAAAATGGTGTAAGAAATTAAAACAAAAAGATACACATACAGAATTCGAAGATTTTCGTAAATATTTACATGTACTTTAAAAACACTTCCGTTTTTTGTCACGTATGATATCGCCATATTTTAATCCATATTTTGGAAAACAAGGTTCCGAATGGGATGATTCCTTTTGCAATATAGTATTCTATAAATGGAACAGAATGACAAAATTGTTTTGCAAGTACTCCTAATTTTACTAAATCTATACCACTCTGAAGCCGTGCGAATGTCACATACAATCGTATGGAATTGCCCATATGTCAATTTTTAACACATTCTGATGAAAAATTTAGTATAAAGCACGTTAATCAAACACATATATTTCAATTTGAAAAAGAAAACCGTTTTTACGATATAGGTTGTATAGGGGGTGGGAATGCCCTAGCATCGATTATTTTGAAATTCAGGATTTTTGTTAATAGTGCTATCAAAGACATATATTTCAAATTTTAATACATTTGATAAAAAATTTAGTCACAAACATGTTTTTACGATATATGTTGTATGGGGGGTGGGAGTGTCCTTGCACCGATATTTTTGAAATTCAGGATTTTGTTAATAGTGCTATAAAACACATATATTCTATTTTTTAATATATTTTGATGAAAAATGTAGTCACAAACACGTTTTTACGACTTAGGTTGTATGGGAGGTGGGCGTGTCCCTGCTCCGATTTTATTAAAATTCAGGATTTTTATTAATAGTGCTACCAAAGACATATTTTCCAATTTTCAATATATTTTGATGAACAATGTAGTCACCAACACGTGTTTACGATTTAGGTTGTATGGGAGGTAGGCGTGTCCTGCTCCGGTTTTTTTTAAATTAAAAATTTTACTTAATCAAACCATCAGACACTACCCTACAAAATTTCATTCTCCTGCGATCTCCCGTCTATTTTTGCCGATTCGTTGTATGGGGACAAAGCATTGTGCGACGCTTTCACTGTAAGGCACTTGTTCAAAATGAACTATATGAAATGGCTCAGATCAGATGGTTTAGTGAAACCACCTGTTTAATCTCGTAGTCAACCTGGCCTCTATATGATGACCCTAAGTCTAGCTTACTGTTAAGCTTTCGCAGAGAGCAAATTAGAACGCTGCTATCAGTAATAACGGGACACTGTGTTATTGGCAATCAGAAGAAGAATGGGTCTCTGATACAATGACTACTGCAGAAGTTGTCACAATGAGGAGGAGAAGGAGACTATACCTCATCTACTCTGTTACTGTCCGACATTTAATGGGAACAGGGAACTTTATTTTGGATCTGCTGTTCTCTCTTGTTTGGAGGATACATCCGGGATAAATTTAAAAAATACCCTAAATTTCGTGAATCGAACCGGCTCTTTTAAGTAGTGAGTAGTTCTTATAGGAAAAGACTCCTATGACCAATAGGGCATCACAACGGGAACGAAATAAGACGGACCCACGTGAGCCACTTAAACTTGTTTTAGTGGCTACCCTTCCTACCTAACCTACCCGTTTTTCCCCTTATGTGCCTTTCTGGTCCAAAATAAAAAATAATAAAGCATATTGAGGTTTTCGTAGCATTATGTTTAATAATTTCCCCTAAAATTGCAAAATCTGACAATGTGCACCGTTCTGACTGAAGGAAATCTATTGACGATGTGAGTGTACTTCTCATAATATTAAAATGGTGATTTTGAATTTCTTTTTAACTTTTATAAAATTGAACAAGAAAACGAGTGAGAATCGATAATAATAATGACCCATTTCTTAATAATTTTTCATCAATATAAGAATATTGCAGATACATTGAGAATTTACAATAGCTTAACTTTTGCTGATTTCCAATACCAAACAGCATAGGAGAATAATTATATTGTATTACATAGTTCTGAACCTGTTTTCACCAGACAGACAGACGGACATACTTTAATACATATACCTCAAACGCAAATACATACATATACATAGTTGTTCTTTATTATGAAATTAACATTCAATGACAAATTTAATTAACATTCAATGACAAATTTACTTATTTAGAGCTAATATACGAAATTTTTATTCCTAACATCTATTTTGAATGAAGTCTGAAATGTTTTGTTGAGAGTACAACCCCAACATCTTAAAATCAATAAATTTAAATTTTTTGTTGCAAAATATATCTTATTATGGGTTAATTTAAAATACAATTTAAAAACAAAAAATTTTTAAATTTTGGAAATGCGATTTTTGGGCTGTACTAGGATGGGTACAGCGGGACAATATGGGTATAAATACAAATAAATAAAAAAATTAAAACCAATTTTTATTATTTTTTTTTAATATTTTGGTACTTTCCTACATAAAAGATCGAATCAATTAGTATTGAGAACTTTTCCATTAGATTAATTATGAAATGTATTGAAATTCTCTGTGAGTTACCGCATTCAGTGCACTTTTTCGACACTTTATTGATATTTGTGCTAAAGTAAATTAATTAAAATTCATCATATGGGATGTATTCTTCACTGACACTACTATCATACACTTCCCATTCACCAAAAGTGTTGTCTGGTAGATCCTCCAGTAATTAAATGTATTTATCAATTCCTTTTTCATCAATTTCTTGGCAATATGTATTTGGAAAAATAATGAAAAAATCTAAATGTGAACTGATTTATTATAAAGATAATCAGTAGCACCTACAAGCCTTCTAAAATATTTACCAAAAAGGACATAAACATTCTTAATAGATAATTAAGTTATATGAAAAAATAGGCATGGTGCCATTGTACCCAAGCGAGTACACCAATATTAAGCTTATAAAAATTAACTTAAAATCTAATTCTTTTTTAACAAATCCTAATGGGCTTTAGGATTTTTTATTTTTCTGTAAAATTCTAATCCATTTAACTCAAAATGAATGAGTTTGACATCAAATTGCAATGAAAGGGTTTTTCAAAACTCTGTTGACAAAAAAATTATTTAAAATTACCGTTATGTTTTTATGACTTTATAATTCGGTACATTTACTCTTTAGATCCTAAAGTAATGTTCCAAAAATCAAATTTTACAAAAAACTCAGTAATATGGATAATCTAGCATTATAAAACCGGTTGTTTTTTTGTACCCAAGCGAGTACAGTGGGAACGAATGGGCTAAGGATGGAACTGTAATAGGTATGGTTTGAAACCTTAGATAACTAATATTTCCGAAAATTTCTTTTGACAATCATAGAGCGCTAAATAGGGTCGCAAAATTAAATTGTATGCGAATCCTTTTTAAGACTATACGAAAATTGTTTCCAAAATCGGACAAAATATTACCAGTTATTCTGTAAAATATCCCTTTTAAAAATACATAAAAATCGATAAGCGTTGAATTCATATTAATTGTTCAAAACAATTGTTTTATTTTTTTTTAAATGCTAATATTAACATGGTTTTAAGGGCTTAGAGCAAAATTTATTTATTAACAAAAAATCCGGCGTTTGGATTACTATTGGGTGACATTGCATTTGGGGGTTGCTGTTGACCACCTCCCGGCTGTTGATTTCGTGTAGAAGTAGCATACAGTTGCTGCTGGAAACTATGATATTGTTGAGCATATTTCAAGTCATTAGATGTTGGACCAACAAATGGCTTATATCCCATATTTCCAGATCCCGAAAGAGGTCCACCAGGACCGTTGTTACTGTTGGGTATATTGCTGTTCAACATGGAATTGTTAGGTCCCATCATAACAGAATTTTGCATGGGGTTGGAAGCAGGGTTTTGATCATTTATAACGTTGCTGTTTGGTAAGGGACCGTTGTTACCATTGTTTGGGTTAAGGTTGGGTGGACCGTGCGACATTCCCATGGTTGGGGGTTTATTATTCTTCTGTTGATATAGGCCAGCAGCTGCAGCATTGTTGAACATACCATTAGAAGGATCATTACAGTCTAACGATTCGTTGTCGGCGCCAGGAAATGGATTGTTGCCTATACCATTAGGGGGAATATTGCCCATGCCAGGATGTTGCATGCGTGATCCAGAATTCATTCCAACGCCTGACTGCAATCCACCCTGACGCATAGGCCTCATGCCCCTAAGCATTGGTGCATGAGGACCTGGTAAATTCATAGGATCATGATTAGCCATCATTCCACCTCCTCCTTGCAATTCATCTTGATCGCCCCCACCACCTACAGGTTGACCCATGCCACCCATACCTGACATTTGATTACAATTTCCAAAAAAAATTCATCTGATTCATGGCATTTACTCCCATATTATTATTTGTATTTGGCATTTTATTTAAATCACTTGGACCATTCATGGCAGGCATATCGGAAGGTGATGAGCCAGGACCAACTCCAGGTCCTCCACCACCACCACCTCCTGAATTTCCCATCATTTGGGGGTTAGCATAACGTTGAAGAAATTCCAGACTAGGAGGTACTCGCATATTATTGTTATTATTATTGTTTTGGGGCCTTACTGGCATATACTGTATGGTATTGGGGGTACTTGCTTTAACCTGTATGTTAGGAGAAACATTAAAATTTCCAAAATTTGCTGACATACGGTGATTCATCATTCGGTGCGAAGGCATCATGCCAGGGAAGCCTGAAGGCACATCCCTCATACCCATACCTCCAACTTGATTTGGATTAAAACCGCCCGACAAATTAGGTCCACACATTTTTGGGTTTAGCAATCGCTGGCAAATCGGTCCAGGATTGCCACCCATCATATTGCAATTACCTGGACCAAAAGGCCCAGGTACGGATCCGGGTCCACCTCCAAGGCCGGACATGCCCATATTCCCACCACCGCCATTGGGATTTTGATTACAATGGTCCATGTTTGGATCAACTGGGCCACCCATCATTGGGCCTCCCATTAGGCCATTCATATTTATATCGTTAACACCACCCGGACCACCCATTAAGCCGGACATATTATTCGGTGAATTTCCCACTCCTCCAGAACTGAGACCAACACCGCCTCCCGTTAGTTGCTGTGACATTTGGGCCAGAGATGATATGGGATCAAACGAATTTGACATTTTAGTTTGATTACTTCGATTACTATTAGGATTTAAAGGCATATTATCGTTACGTCGACAAAATTGTGGCGGCATTTGTTGCAGGTTTTGTCGCTGCTGAAAAGGACGATAAAAAATCAATGAAAAGAAATAGGTTAAATTTGTAATCATGTTGAAAAATATTACTTTGCAAATAAAATTTAACACTAAAAAATCCAATAGTTAAAATATGAAGATACGTTTTCCTACATTTAAAATACATTCTTTTGAAATACACCTGGCAAAATATTAGCAAACCATACTAAATGTAAAGTTTCATAAGGTAACAGACCTTTAATTTCCAAAAAATAAGGTAACATTCCTTTAATTTCCAAATAAATACTTGCAACGAAAAATTAAATAAAAATTTACAAACTAATTTTCTTAAATTAAAGAAGTTACCCTCTGTTGCAAAACATTTGAAGAGCCCTATGTTAACATTCGGGATTCGACCGAATTCGGTATAATTTTAACCCTATTTAAAAATTTGATTTGTTATTGTGAAACTTCAAATATGGTCTGCCCGCTATTGCCCGTTTTTGGTTAATTTAAGCGACACGCCCACTATTTTAACACGCTAACTCTTAAATAACAACTTAAAACTGTAAAAATAATAAGTGTTAGTGGCGTTATTTTAACATGAAAAGGTATAATAAAATAGTTACTATTTAGGGGAATTGCAACACCCACAATATATATTTCGCTTGATTATATAAATTTTTTAAGATGTTTCACGGTTTAACAGTTAACAATTTTTAAATATTCGTTAATAAATATTTACTTTTGTATAATAGGCTATGCCACGCCCACTATTCAGATCCCGCCCATTTTTTTCTACTAAATTAAATAATTATTTTGTTATTTCTTGCAATGTTCTGATACTGTCAGTCACTAGGAGGTGTAACGCCTACATTCTGAACCCAATTAAATTCCAACAACGCATTTTTCATTATTAATGAAGATTTTACGAAAATTTCTGAAAAAACAGCTCCCGTGAAGACACAAAGAAACGTAGATTAACCACTTACTTTTCAATGTAAGTTTTTGCTGGGTTGTTTTGCAGTTTATGCATTTTGGAAAGCAATGACGCAAGATTGCGTATTCGACCAATGTACATTGAAAATATTAATAAAAAAGAATGACGTCTTTAGGAATATACATGTGTACATAAGAAATCTCTAATATAAAAAACTTTAGCTTTCACCCCATTTGAAAGGGAATTTTTTTTATTTCTGATAAATGATCGCAATTAATTTTCGTATTTTTCGTAAATAGCAAACTTCTCGAAAGCATGCCTAATAGAATTATTGCTGATTTAGATCCCGAAGATATCTGGGGTCTTCAGACAATTGATTTCGACAGGCAAACAGGCGGTCGTAATGGACTCTGCCACCTAGAAGGACCCAAAATATAAATAATATATAGAGTCGGAAAATTATATTGTGAGTATTACAAATAAAATTTCAAACTTAAATACATATGTTTGTATGTGTATCCTTCTCACATTATAATTATTATTTGACAAATTTATCCGAGTACATTCGTATAATATTTTTTGAACTATTGAATTTTTCAATTATGAATAATTTATGTACAAAATATTTTTTAAATTTCAAAATCTTGTGCTTCTTAATTATATTGTGATCAAAAAGTTATATTTACCTCTATGCTTGAATTTTGATTTTTAAAACTGTTGGGTATATTCTGGGAGTTGGGCCCGGACGTGCCACCTGGTGTGAAGTTTAAGCCGGGGCTGGGAAATCTCGGCTCCATAGCAGAGTTATTAGGCATATCATTAATTAAAGGACTTCTTGATCTCTGGGAATTTGGTCTGGTGGGTTTATGATCTGTTGCGAAAATAAAACAATAAAATATTTTTTAAATCGATAAAATTTTGTATTTTGTAACCCTAAATAGAATTTGATTTGTAAATACAACTACACATTTATGTGTAAAAAGTATGAATAAGTAATAAACATAAAAATTATTCTATATTCACGATATAATCATAGCAAATTCAATCAAGATAAGATGATTAATAAGGTGTACAACATTATTTAATTTAATTTTAATATTATTTATATTTAACAATATTCAATAACCTAGCCTATAGGCCCTAAGCGGTAAAATTTTCACTGACAGCCTTGTTAGTTGTCAATTACTACAACTGGAAAAGCTTATTTTTATGTTGGAAAAGATTGTTATTATGTTGCTTAAATTCACAATATAATAGAAAATTCTTCATTGGAGGTTATTGAGGTCGTATGGACCCCTTGACATGTTGGAATTAGTTTCATTAAATTGCAGATAAAATGACTCTTGAAGCGATACGTAATGTTAGAGAGCAACTATGCAAAAGGATGAATTTGAGCATATTTTTCTTGAAAAAGGAAAATTGTTTAAAGAAGTAAACACCTACATATGTATATCTCGCCAAAGCAATTTTTTTTAGAGCAAACATCTAATACCAGAGGATGTCAAGACAATAAATAGACACAACAAAAATTTATCTTAACTTTATAAATGTGAGTCTTTCAGCAAATTGTGAAATACATATGTAAATTCCCGGACACGAATGATCACCAATATGATCAATGATCATTAACAATATTTCAATGTCCTCGATTTAACCAGTTAAGGTATTTTTTTTGGCTTATTTCAACATTTTGACAACATAAAGACTATTTTGCGCAAGAATTTAAAATTATATAAAGATATGTGAGCAGTTATAAGGTGAAATCAATTCAACATCAGATTGTTATTTTTTTAATGAAAGTTGTATACAACTGTCAAAATATACAATTTCGAGTTGCCAGATGCACAAAAAAAATCATTTATTTACATAGGTATTAATTTAATCTTCAGGATAACAAAATAATTTTAATTTATAATTAAAAGAGTAATTGTTTATATCATTAAAATTCACCTTAAATGTTTATGCATGTATATCATAAATATTTTTAATGAAAACTGTTAAAATTGTAGAAATAGAAAACAAAATTTCCGCGCAATTAAACACTTCCGAAAATCACTTAAAAACACATATTTCATTGCCAAATAAAGTTATCGTAATAAAATTCGACATAAATATATTTTGTCTAAATATGAATAACTCTACTAAATTTTTTCCGCATGGACCCATAATTGGTCATAGCTCCCATATAAGGTCCATTTCCGAAAATCACTTAAACGCATATATTTCATTGAATTCTAAAGCTATCGGGATAAAATTCGACAACAATATGTTTTGTATACATACAAATCATTCTACATTTTTTTACGGATCGGTCCATTATTGGTCATAGCTCCCATATAAGGCCCACTTCCGAATATCGCTTAAAAGCACATATCTCATTATCAAATAAAGCTATCTTGATAAAATTCGACACAAATATATTTTGTCTTTATATGAGTCACTCTACGAAATTTTTTCCGGATAGGCTCATAATTGGTCATAGCTCCAATATAAGGTCCACTTCCGAAAATCACTTAAACGCATATATTTCATTAAATTCTAAAGCTATAAGGATAAAATTCGACACAAATATGTTTTGTGTACATATAAATCATTCTACCACTTTTTCCTGGATCGGTCCATTATTGGTTATAGCTCCGATATAAGTCCCACTTCTTAAAATCACTTAAAGGCACATATTTCATTGTCAAATAAAGTTATCTTGGTAAAATTCGACACAAATATGTTTTGTCTTATATGAATCACTCTACGAAATTTTTTCAGGATAGGCTCCCATAGAGGGTCCACTTACGAAAATCACTTAAACGCATATATTCTTTGAATAATAAAGCTATCGGGATAAACTTGAATATTTTTAGTCTAATAGTATACTTTTTGGTAATTGTAATTGATTATACATACATACATACATACATACATACATCTACATACATACATATACATACATACATACATACATACATACATACATACATACATACATACATACATACATACATACATACATACATACATACATACATACATACATACATACATACATACACATACACATACTACATACATACATACATACATACATACATACATAACATACATACATACATACATACATACATACATACATACATACATACATACATACATACATACATACATACATACATACATACATACATACATACATACTACATACATACATACATACATACATACATACATACTACATACATACATACATACATACATACATACATACATACATACATACATACATACATACATACATACATACATACATACATACACATACATACATACATACATACATACATACATACATACATACATACATACTACATACATACATTCAATCACAATATACAAGAACAACTAAACCGATTAACCTGAAATTTTGCATACCGATAGGTATAAGCTTGGAAAGAACTTTAGGCTAATATATAACTTGATCCGATGCCACGCCCCTTTCTACGCCCACTTTTTATAAAACTACCCTTACCTATATCTTATCGTATAATTATATGAAAGAGAAAGTCTGTTTGTTACGCTTTCACGGACAAACTCCTGGACCGATTTTCATGAAATTTAGAACACTAATAGTTCTATTCTAAAGTGGAACACTAGGCTATATATAATCATGATTTGACGTCACGACGTTATGCTCACTTTTTTCTATATAATTGTTATAGAACATTTTCACTACTACTAAACCGATTTACATGAAATTTGGTATACCGATCTCAGGATCTGGATCGGACGCCACGCCCCTTTTTACACCAACTTTTTGTAAAACAATTATTAAACCAAATTTACGTTCAGGCATACAAAAAACTACTGATCCGATTTTCACATTACATCTTCAAAACCTATAATATATAATAATAAATATATATGAGACTTTTTTTACTCTTTCACTACATAACTAAAAAACTTATTTACATAAAATTTGGCATTTAATAGGTCTAACCTCAGAAGTTAAAAAAAATTTTTGAATAACAGCTATAACACCAAATTTATCGACTAAATATAAAAAAACATGAACCGATTTTCAAGAAATTTGGCAACAGATAGTGTATTTTTAGAATCAACTTTTTGATCTGGATTTTATGCTTCATGAAATTTTGCATGACAACAGTTCTATCGTGAAAGGTTAGGTTAGTTTGATGAAGAGAATGTTTAATACATTCAATCCGAATAAATACACCTATACCACTAATTTCAGGCCTGCTATGATCTTAATGAAATGCAATGACCTTTTTCCGTTCATTTTTTGTTACATTTATAACGCTCATGATACATGTATACTTCTTATAGTATATGAGAATTATTATTTAGGTAGTTAAAATTTTAATCAAAAATTTATTTTTATTTGAAAACTCTAAAATGTTTGTAGGTCCTTAACTTACTTTACGATTAGGTAAAATAAAAATCTGTAATCAATTTAATTTATTATCAAAAATAGATTTTCATCTAAAGCGTAAAATCGGTTGTGGATTCGTATACCCCATCACTTATATTTTCCACGCGAAAACTATTTTTATTTCAAAACCTGTAATCCGCTGCATATCCTCAAAAAAAAAAAAACTATTTTAAAACTGAATCGGAAATTTTTTATCAAAGTTATATTGTTGTAGATCTGAATATATTACTCCCATCACTTATATTTTCCACCGGTAAACTATTTTATTTCAAAACCTTTAATTTGCTGTATATCCTCAGAAAATAACAATTTTAAAAGAGAATCGGATGTAGTTTCCTACGATCGAGAAAACTATAAACTATATAAGATCTTGAATGAATATCTACGATGTCACTTTTGTATGCAGTACTGAACAAAAACTGCTCCTAAAATAGGGAAATTATATTTTTCACAAAAATTAGAATTTTAAATTTAAATCTACAAATTCATCTAGAATATCATTTATATCTCCCCTTAAAATTTCTATTTATATAACTCTTTACAAATTTACTTTAAATAACTCTCAATTCGAGAAAAAATAAAGATCCGTAATCATTCATTTTTGCACGTAAGTAGCACCGTATTTATTCCAAGCTTTTTAAATTAAATAATGATTTTGAATAATTCCAGCACACATCTTCCATTTACCATTTACAAATTCTGAAATTTAGTTTAATTGGAGGAAGACGTGGATATTTTAATAAGTAAAATTATTTGGGTATCTGCTTTGTAGATCTTACGATATTTGACCCTTATTTCTTCGGATTTAATAAGTGGTGTCTAAATCCATCCAAAACTTTAGTGTGGATGCATAAAAGCTAATGAATAAAAATAATATTTTTAAACATACTTTTTTATAAATGGATGTATTTTTGAGAAATAAAAACAAAAAAACGGTGGTTTTACTCTTTAATAAACAACTCAAAATTGTTTGTCAAATTAAAAGTAGTTTTGTTTTCTCTGTCAATATTCAACGATACTTCATATTTTCCTAGGGCAGAAAAAAACGTAATTTTGTTCTTCTTAAAGGAATTTGAAATCAATGAGCCGAAATTTTTCATGATTTTGTGCAGAATTTCTCATAATTGTTTCAGAGTTTTTTCAATTGCATGTACTTTTTCAAACAGCAAAAAAATCGCTTGAAATTTTATACGGTTAATGGTACGTATTTTTGAAATTAATAAAATGCACCAAATACCTTTGTCTCTTTACACCAGGGGCACTACAATTCAAAGTACGGTGTGACCTAATTTAAACTGAACAGTTCTTTAAATCTACTGCACATGACAAAAATAAAACAAATCATTTGAAAGTGTCTTTAGTTCCCTACCAGTGATTGAAAATGCTGTACAATTTCTCAAAAAAAGCTTTTTTAAATTTTTCTACAAATT